AATGTGATCTCCAATACCTTTATAAGAAATAACATTAAGCAACTTGTTATAGATTAACAAAGTGTAAGCAAGCAAGGTACTTTTCTCGGCCAGTTTCTCTTTCTGGCAGGCAGCAAATTATGGTTACAAAGAAAGGAGTAATTATTTTATTATTTATCTTTTAAAGTAATCTTGTAAGAATCTTGAAAGAATCGAGAATGTAAACTTTTATATAAAAACCAGTCATATCCACCTTAAATCCTCAGAATGCATATCTCTACTCATCAGCAGTTCTTTTTAAATTATATTGGGAAGTTGAGGGCAAAAATGGGTATAAGAAATCAGTCATCACCAGTCCAGCCTCCGTGAGAGTCAAGTCAGCCAGTGCTGCCATTGTTCTTATTCCCTGACCATAAAGAAACCCTAACTTAACTAAAAAGAGTATGTGCCTTTATGAACTTCAGATTGTTCCCAAGATTTTCTACATCAGAGCCAGGAGTAAAAATATCTCAACCTGGCTTCACTACAAATTTTATATTTCTGCCAGGCAGTGGTGGCGCACGCCTTTAATCCCAGCACTTGGGAGGCAGAGGCAGGCAGATTTCTGAGTTCGAGGCCAGCCTGGTCTACAGAGTGAGTTCCAGGACAGCCAGGACTATACAGAGAAACCCTGTCTCAAAAAATCAAAAAAAATAATAATAATTTATAGTTCCAAATGTTTTCTAAGGGTGATGGTCATTTTTGACAACCTACATCTCTAAGTTCTTTCCTAGGGTGGTAATTAAATCAGTAATCTGTTCCAGTAGTAATGTCTGAAAGAGATCAAGCATTAGTATTCTGAATGCCAGAGATACTGCCCAGTGAGGGCCTGGAAGCCCCCTTAAAGTGTTCATCTATTTCTTAGATTAAGAGGGATGTGATGGCAGCAAGCAGAACAGACCTCTATAACAGTGTAAAGTCCTCAGGACACGTAGTTCTCAGGGCCGTACCACTTGAGGTTCATCCATGTGGCTGTGGTAACCCATAGGCTAAATTCCATGAGTTCTAAAGTCACTTGCGGTTCCTCCTGTATGTCCCTCGGCAGAGGGTGACCATGAGCGACCATCATCTGCCTAGATGAGTTGAAAAAGAGTTTCATTCCGTCCCTCTTCACCGCATCCACAGTGTGCCCAGTGATTCAAGCAAATCATCTGCAAATATGGGTTAACATATATTCTTCTACTTTGCAAGTGACAGTGGGCATCTGGGGAGATGCTTTGGTGGGTAAAATGATCTTTGCACAAGTGTGAGGAGCTGGTGCCATGGAACCTATCTGCAGTTCTGGGAGGTGGGGACAGCCAGCTAGCCTGGCATTGGTGAGTGCTGGATACAGTGAGAAACCTTGTTCCCCAAACCAGGTGGAGCGGCTAGAGAGAGGCTCAGTGGTGAAGAGCACTGGCTAGTCTTCCAAGGGGTTCAGTTCAGGTCCCGGCACATGGCAACTCACAGCCATTGCAACCCCACTCTCAGGGCATCTGCTGCCCTTCTCTGGCCTCCATGGGTACCAGGCATGTACATGGTACACAGACTTACATGTAGGCAAAACACCTGAACACACAAAATAAAAATAAGTCTTTTTGTTTAAGGATAAAGAATAATGAAGAAAGAAAACCAGTGTCGGCCTCTGGTGTACTCAGCACCGATACACATACCTGTATACACACTCGTAAACACCACCTGTCAGTAGAGGTGGGTTAGCAGCAGGGTTGGGTCCTGTCCACCCATCAGCAGGTGCTGGAAGGTCGAGCTACTATTGAAGCCCAGTACTACCCAGTACTAGTTGGGGTTACAAGGAGTGGCTGCTCTGCCTTCTTTCTGATCTTACCCTCGGACCCTGAGACTTCACACTCTGGGAAAGTTTGTTCCCTTTGTGAGGTTTCAACACAGACTTGGGGAGAGGCAGGCCCCTCTCATTCTTTCTCCAATATGTGTGTGATGTGTGTGTGTGTGTGTGTGTGTGTGTGTGTGTGTGTGTGTTTGTGTGTGTACCAGGTCTAGCAGGGCCAGTGACAGCAGTGGTAGTCAGCTCCTCAGCAGGAAAGAAGAAAAAAACTTTTGCTCCTCCAGAGGCCCTGACCTCTTCAAGGCCTGGCTTCAGTTTCCACCTGCACTTTATTCTCACTGGGAGTCTCTGCCTAGGACTGATCTGAACAATGCTAGCCTTGTCTGCCACAGGGGATGTCTTGTCAGGATCCCTATCAGATTAATCAAGCTGAAGGCTGAGATTAAGGAGCTGTCCAAGAGCCAACGCTACTGATTTTCTCGTTCAGTAGAATGGAGAAGCTGTGATCCAGGAGCTGGGGCAGGCAATCGCTCTGGAAAGGAGAGAACAGGAACTTTCCTGTGGGTTTAGAACCAGAGAAGTGCTTAAGTAAATATTCCGAATTTCACAAAAGACGTGTTGGAGCCGTTACTGGAAGAGAGAATTTTATGAAAAATTGTTAAGGAAAGAGCATTAAATGCACATAAATCCTGTGTACATATGTACAGTGTAATCGCACCCTGCTTTAAAAAACAAAACTGGGGCTGAAGAGATGACTCAGTGGTTAAGAGTACTGGGTGCTCTTGCAGAGGACACAGGTTCAGTTCCCAGCACCCACATGGCAGCTCACACTGTAACTCCACTTTCAGGGTCCCCGACACCCTCTCATGGGCACCAGGTGTGCATGTGGTACACATACATACATGCATGCAGGCACATGAGATAAAAATAAATAAATTTTTTCCCAACCTCTTATTTATTTATTTATTTATTTACTTATTTATTTAAACTCCAGATTTTATCCCCCTCCTGGTTTACCCTCCAATTATTCCACATTCCACACTTCCTGTCTCCACAAGGATGTCCCCACCCTCCACCCCACCAGACCTCTAAACTCCCTGGGGCCTCCAGTCTCTTGAGGTTAGGAGCATCCTGGCTGCCTAAGCCAAGATACTTTCTTAAGGTTTGATGGCTCATTTAAACTCAGGATTTTCATGCCTTAGATTTGATTTTCTGATAATACTATGAATCTATGACTTGGACAAGGCAACGTGTCAATGTTTTTCACTATTTGTGACACTGTATGTGAAGGGAGAGATTACTTTCAAGGTCACATCCATGGTGACTTACAATGTGATGCACTGTGGTCACTGCAGAATGAAGAGGGACAAGAACACGGGATGATGCCCATTCAAGATGAGACAGATCATCTAATGGGACTGTCTGCATGCTGTCTGGGATGCCTGGTGGAAGGAAAGGTTGTGGGGGGGATAGATAAATCTTTACAAAAAAACCAACACACAAGTGTAGCTAGCATGAAGGTACTCCCTGCAATCCTAGCATATGGGAGACTGAGGCAGGAGGGTCAAGAGTTTGAGGCCAGCCTGGGAGACAGTAGGATTCTACCTCTAAATAAATATATACATCTACACATACATGAATCTATGAAGCCACATAGACAGCAGGCTATCTGACATTAAATGTCATGAGGTTAAGACTGGAGCCACTGGTTTGCCTTTTCTCTCTCACTTCCTCTTTATAACCCCAATAATTTTATTGTTTGGCTTTTCTATGTGTGACATAAAGGCCCTCCATCTTAGTCTAATACACACACACACATGCACACAGACACACACACATGCACACATACATATGTATACACATATATCTATTTATATACATATATGAATGATATGAGGAGGTGCATATGTCCTGTGTGCATGCGGAGGTCAGAGGACAGCTTTGTAGACTTAATTCTCTCCTTCTGCCTTAACATGGATTCCAGGGATCAAACTCAAGTCCTCAGGTTTTTCCAGAAAGAATTTTACCCATTAAGGTATTTTCATAACTCCCTTTTTTAAAGATAAGTCTCACTCTGTGGCCAGGCTAACCTAGAATGTGCAGCAATGCTACCTCAGCCTTTCCTTCCACCACGTGGGTCCCAGAGGTCAAACTCGGATCATCAGGCTTGGCAGCAAGTGCCTTTACCCACAGAGCCATCTTTTCTGCCCTGTCCACAATTTTGAAATGTTAATAGTCCATAGTTAAACTCTGGCATAGCTGTTTGTATTCTCAGCTTCTCTGTGCAGCTCTGGTCTGGTTCTCACACAGCAGAGCTTGGCTGAGCTGCAGCAGTTACTCTAGGAGAGCACATGTCAGGTTCTGGCAGGTGGCTCTACCAGGACCGCTCCCAGCTGGGGAAGCCTGTCTTAGTTAGGGTTTCACTGCTGTGAACAGATACCATGACCAGGGCAACTCTTACAAGGACAACATTTCATTGGGGCTGGCTTACAGGTTCAGAGGTTCAGTCAGTCCATTATCATCAAGGTGGGAACATGGCAGCTTGCAGGCAGGTACGTTGCAGGAGGAGCTGAGAGTTCTACAACTTCATCTGAAGGCTGCTAGCAGAATGCTGACTTACAGACAGCTAGAATGAGGGTCTTAGAGCCCACACCCGTAGTGACACACCTACTTCAACAATGCCACACTTTCTAATAGTGCCAGTCCCTGGGCCAAGCATATACAAGCCATCACAGGCCCTGTACCTGCAGACCTGTGGATGATACTGGACGGAGTGGGCTATGGAAAGAAAGCATGGAGCTGGAGAGATGGCTCAGCGGTTAAGAGCACCGACTGCTCTTCCAGAGGTCCTGAGTTCAATTCCCAGCAACCACATGGTGGCTCACAACTGTCTGTAATGGGGTCTGGTGCCCTCTTCTGGTGTGTCTGAAGAAAGCGATGGTAGCGTATTCACATGCATAAAATAAATAAATAAATCTTTAAAAAAAATAGAAAAGAAAGCATGAAGTTGGCGGGGTGGGCAGATGGGGGCATGATAAGGAAGAGTTGGAGAGGGAATTGGGAATTGATACGACCAAAATAATAAGAAGCATGTACAAAATGATCCAAGAATAAGTAAAAGTGACATCCGAGTATTCCATGGTGAGATGAACGCTCAGAAGGGCCCAGCCTGCTGCCAACGCTTTTCCTTTTCCTTCAGTATGGAATTGTGCTGGATGCGGGCTCTTCCAGAACCACTGTCTACGTGTATCAGTGGCCAGCAGAGAAGGAGAACAACACGGGCGTGGTCAGCCAAACCTTCAGATGCAGTGTGAAAGGTAAATGGGGCAGGAGGCCTGGGCTGGGGGCAGGAGACAGAAGTACCACGTGGCTGTCCATCTGGAGGCAGCCTGGTCCACTCCATCCCACTCCAGCGCTCTGCCTCAGGGGATGTCAGGGCAGTGAATGGTGGCGATTTCCTCCTTCGGTGGTCTCCTAGGTGATGGTGGGGAACAGGGGACATGCCTCTGAACAGTGAGGGCAGTGAGCAAAGAGTCAATATTTTCTCGTACAAATTCTCCAGCTCTTGGTTTGCACAGGATGATGTGGTAAAGCCAGGTGATCCATGCTTGTAGGACAGTGTTGTAGGAGAGGGACACACACACATGTGCACACACAGACAGATAGACAGACAGACAGACACACACACACACACACAGCATGCCTGGAACCAAGCCATGTATGGTGTATGGTGGCTTTCCCATAACAGCCATACTTCATGAAGAGGCAGAGACTGAATCCCACCCGGGAGATGCTGGTGAAAGAAAACCCTGAGGGTCTAGGCCTCTGGGATGAGCTTGGGTTCACCAACCCTTGTGGCTGGCCACCATTCTGAGAAAACAGAGCCCAAATTAGTGCTGGAGAAGCCATGTGTCCTTAAGGGTGTGACACTAAACCAAACTTTCACTCTGTAATTTCAGCCAGAGCCTGTGGTCTCTGCTCCCTCAGAGTATTTGTGGATTCCTGAGGTGACACTCTTCCAAGGAAAGATGGTGTGCTGAGGGTCCCATGAGTGCATATTGTCACAGATGGCATCCAGGATGCCAGGAGCCCCTTCTACTGATAGAAGACTAGCATGTGAGGGTGTTTAGTGTACACAGGTGTGCCTATGGCAGCCGGAAGACTACCATGATTATCAGTCCTCAAGCACTGCCCTCCACCTTGGTTTGGATTTTAATTCTTTGTTTCTTTGTTTCTTTGTCTCTTTGTTTCTTTCTTTGTCTCTTTGTTTCTTTGTTTGTTTCTTTCTTTCTCTCTCTCTTTCTTTTTTTTTCTTTCTCTTCCTTCTCCTCTTCCTCTTCTCCTCCTTCCTCCTCCTCTTTCTCCTTTCTCTCTCTCTCTCTCTCTCTCTCTCTCTCTCTCTGATCTCTTGCTGACCTGGAGCTTAGCCAGGGACACGCCCCCCCCTCCCCAGACCCTCCCGTCTCTGTCTTCCCAAAGCTAGGATTACAAGAACGTACACTGCACCCAGCTTTTTATATGAGTTCTGGAAATCAGTGCTTATAAACACATGCCGTGCAAACACATGGAGAATACCTTATCAACAGAACCATCTCCCACCCCTGACTTTTTATTTAAAAATCTTTTTTACTATTGTTTGTTCTAAGGAGTGCTAGTGAGTTCTGACTGCTTGCTCTTCAGGCTCTGGAATCTCCAGCTATGAGAATAACCCCCAAGATGCCCCCAAAGCCTTTGAAGACTGCATGCTAAAGGTCAAGGAACAGGTCCCAGAGCACCTCCACGGATCCACCCGTGTTTACCTGGGAGCCACAGCTGGGATGCGCTTGTTGAGGTAAGGGGTAAGGGAACAAAGGAGCCCATGTGACCGAAACGGCCAAGGGCATCATTCTGTCTGGGGGAGCAAAACCAAGAGAAGAAAGCCTGTACTCTACTGTAAGCTTAGGCTTTGATAGATGGGAAATTTTTAGCCAGTATTTTAACATCAAGAAAGACAGATTTCTAAAATTGGGTTCCTTCTCCATGGTGATTTTACCAAGAAATCTAGAAAAGGTCTGACATGACTTCTGATCACTGGGTATCCTGTGCTTCCTTGGAGAACAGTTACTGTTTCTGGCATGGGTAAACAGTCAGCTAGAGTCTGTGGTAAGTTCAGGCCTTTTCCACGTAGGCTCTGTCCCTCTGCAGAATGTTCCGGAAACCTTTGTAAGATGATACAATGCTCCTCACCCTAGTTAAAGCTTCTGGAATTTTTATGGGACAAACATCTCATCCATCCACTCTGTTCCTGCCGAATCTGTAGACATGACATTGCTCCCAGGGACATTAAAGAACAAAACAAAACATTTAATAAAAACCAAACATATCTTTTATGTCTTTGTTTTGTTAAAAGAGGGTTTCACTCTATCTATTGCCTGGGCTAGCCTACAACTCACTATGTAGGCCAGGCTGTCCTTGAACTTACAGCCATCCTCCTGCCTCTCCAGATTATAGAGGTCATCCACCGTGCTGAGTGTAACGTCTTTTCTCATTGTTATTTCTGTTGTTGTTTTGTTTTCCTGGGCTGGGCTTTGAACCTGGGCCTTGTGCATGAGAGGCAAGTGCTCTACCACCGAGGTACATTCCCGTGTGCTGGGCTTTGAACCTGGGCCTTGTGCATGAGAGGCAAGTGCTCTACCACCGAGGTACATTCCCGGCTTTCTCTGTTTTTTTCATTGCAGTAGTGTGTTGGCTTTGAAATAGAATTTTAAAAATCATTCCAGAAAAAGACAGAAATATAAATCTGTCCACAGTACAGGCTGCTGGGGTGTTGAAAGTAAGGAGCTCTGCTCATGATCCCAGCAGGAGAAAACAGAAAAGACCAGGCAAGACCAGGCACTTTAACACCATCATGGAAAGAACCCCAGAGCATCTACCGCTGGATGGAACCTTTCCTGGTGTTTCTTTGTCCTTACCGTTGCCTGAAGCAACCAGGGCCTTTTCCTCCTTCCCTTGATAAGCAAGCAGGCACCTGGCTTCTCTTTTCCCACTAACAAAGGGGTCTGTCCATCCGTCCATCGGTCCGTCCGTCGGTCTGTCCGTCCGTCCGTCTGTCTGTCTGTCTGTCTGTCTTTTCAGAAACAGGGGTTCTCTGTAGACCTGGCTGTCCCGGGACTCACTCTGTAAGCCAGGCTGGACTAGAATTCACAGAAATCCAACCACCTCTGCCTCTAGTTCTGGCTTTAAAGTCGTGCACCACCACCGCCCAGAAATGTGAGCTTTATCTAGAGCAGTGGTTCTCAGCTTCTCAAAGCTGTGCAACTTTCGATTCAGTTCCTTATGCTACGGTGACCCCTGACCATACATTTGTTTTCATTGCTACTTCATAACTGTAATTTTGCTATTGTTATGAATTATAATGTAAATATCTATATGTTTTCCGATGGTCTTAGACAACTCCTGTGAATGGGTTGCTCAACCCCAGAAGAGGTCAAGACCTGCAGGTTGAGAACTGCTGTAGGGTAACATGTCAGACAGGAGCTTTGGTGACACTGTACTTTGGTGGCTTGGTGATACTATGCTGGTGTTGGTGTTTTTCTGTCCAGGATCCACATGCCCACTCCTGGTAAAACTCTCTCAAGGAATTAGAAGTTGAACCCTCCCTCTTCCCGTTCCCCCCTAAGTTCATGTTTTTGGTCAAATGAACCTCCTTTCTATGATGCCCCAGAGGCTGTAGGTTACTGCTGGGCCCTCTCCAGTCTTATGTTCTCCACTGGCCTAAGCTAGAGCAATTCAGATAAGAAGTCTGATTACCCACCTCCTGATGAATGGACCAGCCTGGGGTTGGGAACGGTGATGGCAAACGGGGCTTCTACCAGGAGCTATTTTCCTACCTTGTTCCAGCAGGGCCCAGGAAGAGGATGTTTCCTCACTAAGGGGATTGATGGACACCCGCCATGCCTCTGTGCTCAGCCTCTTGTGTTCTGTGCCTCGCATAGGTTGCAGAATGAGACAGCGGCTCGTGAAGTCCTTGAGAGCATCCAAAGCTACTTCAAGTCCCAGCCTTTTGATTTTAGGGGTGCTCAAATCATTTCTGGGCAAGAGGAAGGGGTGTATGGATGGATTACAGCCAACTATATAATGGGAAATTTCCTGGAGGTGTGTGGAAAGAAATGCATGGTTTCTAACCTCTCCATTTATCCCGTCCCCATGGGAGACAGCGGAGGTGGAGGTTTATGCACAGGGGGAAGCACTCAGGGAAAACAGCCAAGGAAGGGCTTTGACATTCTGGGCCACGTTGCTCATTCGTAAGAAATTTGGGGAGGATCTAAATTAAACACCGGGATCTGGATGTTTAGAAGGGCAGCTTTAAGAAGACTCTTCCAGAAGGCTCTGTGACTGCCTGGAAATTACAGAGCCCTCAATCTTTGTCCAGAGTCCCCAGAGAAAAGGAGTCTTTTTCACGTTGTATCCAAAGGTCTCCTTATAGTCTAGTCCCTGCAGAGGACACTCAAGACCACATCCTAGACTAGACTTTTGAGCCCCTGCGAGTATATTTTGAATTTTCAGATTAATTGGCATGATTAATATTTGGGTAATCTCACGTGAAACTCCACCTGTCTAGCCTCCCTTGGCTTTAGAGACCTTAGACTCAGTTACCAGGGGTCACATTTTCTTTCAGGGAGTTTCTAGCAGGGCACCACACAACCCAGGCTCTCTCTAATTGTTTTCACCTCCCTACCTGCCCACTCTACACACATGAGCTGCGTGCATTTGCGTTTTCTCACAGATCATCTTATAATCCCTAAAATAAGAGAGGACCAACCCTGGGTGTATCCATGTCCCCCTGCCTAGCAGAAGCAGCCCTGGGT